TGCAGTGGTCAGGCAAGGCCCTTGGTTTTATCAGGAACATTACAAAGATTTTTTTTAAACAATTGTTTTAAATGTTGCAAAAATGAAAACTACTATAAATACTTCTCTATGGAACTAATCAATTATTCTCCTACACCAAGATCTATTAATATGGCATTACAACCAAAGCCTGAAATACTGCTTTGTTGTAAGTGGAAAACATTCTAGAAGCAAGGATTTAAGTGTTGGACAAATAACATTTACTCCAGATTCTAGCCTTAATCACCTTTAATTTACGTTAAATATGGCATTTTAAATGCCATAGTTTTCTTCTACAAAGAGGACTTCCATTTAGAAGCCAGACTTTCTGACTTCTTAGACCCTTACTCTACTACTTACTAGCTGGTGACCGTCCACAGTCAGTCAAGCCACCAGAGTCTTCCTTTCTTGTCAGTTCCTACAGCTATCCCCTCTCTTACCCTCGTTCCTGGTTCTATGTTGCTTTACACAAATGCTTTTGTTTCTGGCTTTCTGTTCAGTGTACCACGACAATACCACAAATTCTTCCATCTCCTTCAATCTAGACCCCACTCACCCAGACTGACCCATCTCAGCTGACTAACAGAGTGTGCCCCACACGCACAGGAGTCTGAGGGAGCAAGAGTAATGTGACATTATGATGGGAATGGCCGAGGCACAGACCAACCCAAGTCCTGCCGCACACCAGCCACTGTCCCCACAAGGCCCCTGGGGAAAGGGGGTGCAGAGAGAATAAAGCTAGGCAGAGCAACACTTGGTTATTGGCTGGGGGCTGGCCTCAGGCTCCAAGCAGAACTCCAGCAAGACTGGCTGGGCTGTGAGCTCCCTACTAGTGCTAGTTAAGCCTGAGGGCCACCTTGAATATTCACTTCCGGGCCCAAATCTGAGCCTCCCACAAAAGCGAGCTACCACCCTAACACACAGAAGAAGAGAACAAGCAAGAAAAATGGGGTGGTGGACCCAATGCTCAGAATGGAGTAAATCTAGGCCACCTCCCCAGATCCTCTCCAAACAAGGGAGAGAAAGGGGCTGCACTCGAGGGAAAGAATGAGAATGACGAATGAATGAACTAAAGAATGAACGAATGAATGAGTGGACAGGCAGACAAAAGAACAAGACCACAACTGAAAAAAGGCCAACCAATGAGGCCTTCTCTCAGAGGGTACGGACCTCACTCCAAATGATCTCTCAGCACAAGACTCTCTTCCAAGAGGACTTCCATCCAGAAGGGTACATGGGGCAAGGATAGGTCCTGTCTTTTATTCCTCAAGTAGCAGAGTTAGGAGGACAGGAGAGAGAGGGGGTCCCTCGGAGGGAAGAGTGTTAAGACCCTCAGCGTTCTGGTCACATGAAGGGAGAGAGGAAGGCCCATCCAAGGTTATATGGGCCTTCTAGTGGCCTAAAAGCTCCATACACCTCCCCCTCACCCCCCCACACACATTCTTACACCTTGCTCTGGGTGTGGTGCCCGTAGAGTATCCACACTTCTTATGTCCACAGATGGGAGCCAACTGTGAAGGCTCAAAAGCTGAGAGGGACCTTAGACCCATTCTCCTCGAGGGCCATGTTGCATAATTGCCTGAGTTTCTAAACCTCAAGTTTTCACTATTGATTTGCCCCAAAGGCTACATGAACACAAAGAACCTGGAAGGAACTCAGCCATCTGCCTTCTGTCCTCCTTCTTCCACGACATATTCTTCAAGCAAAACCAAGGCACTCCATGGTGCTTGGGAGGAGACAGCAGGCATGATGGTAGGAGCCCAGGCTCTGGAGTCAGACCCCTGGGATTCAAACCCTGACTCTACTACTTACTAGCTGGTGACCGTCCACAAGTCAGTCAAGCCACCAGAGTCTTAGATTTCTCATCTGTAAAACAGGGGGAGCAATAGTAATAACCTCACAGATCACTGTGAAGATCAGAGGAGACCATTCGTGTAAAATGCTGAGCAGAGTGCTGGGCACACAGTGAGTGCACGGTAAATACTGGCTGCCATGACAATGAAGATGAGGTCACTCTATCACTACTACTACTAATTTTCATCATTATTACGATTACTCTGGCTTTACTCTATCTGTATGGCTCCCAGAGGCCAATGAAATCTCAGCCTCCCTGTCTTTTCTTTTTTTTTCTTTCTTTTTTTTCTTTTTTTTTCAGCCTCCCTGCTTCTTATTCCCTTTGCTTCTCCACAGGTGAGGACCCTAGTCTACCAAGGTGAATTCAAAGTCCTTCCTCACACTGAGAAAGACTCACACAGGGCTTTGGGGGCCAGGCTAAAAGACAGGGGTGCTGCTCACTTCAAAGACCACAGATTGTGAACAGGCTGATTTCCCTGACAGTTGTTCTCATGAAAGGACACAACCCCAGAGTTCCTGACCAGCCATTCAAACCGAAGGCCCAGCCCACTTCTTTCCCTCCCCATCCCCACTACATTTTATGAATTTCTTTGAAGGAAAAAAAAAAAAAAAAACAAAACCCACGGATTTGCTAAGCTTTCTTCTGGTTCATTTACTCGCACTCCTACCTCCAGTGAATACTCTGCTAGTTGTAACAGGGTTTAAGAAATGCTATAAGCAGAATTGGTAAAAATAGTAACAGAACAGAAATTTATACCTTAAACAAATCATTCCAACAGATGGGACTTAAAGTATTTATTATCCCTCTCTGGTCTGGGACTTTTCAAACACGGCATTTCCAGCCGGCCAGACTGGGAGCTATTTGATAGTACCTCTCTGACCAATTACATACTAATTAAAAGACCTTGGTGTGGGCTGGAGGTAGCAGCTTTGCATATGGACTTTAATTACTGGGCTCGAGTTTTGCCAAGAAAACACAAAGGGCTTTTCTGGCTGGATGCAGAGGCTTAGAATGAACATATGGCCTGCGTGGGAGGGGAGGGTTAAGAGTGTCATCCTACACAGGAAGTGGAGTATTTCCCCCCTGTAATCTCCTGAAAGTAACTATGTACTAGGGTTAGACAAAATCCTTGGTCAGCCCAGGGAACAAAGGGCAACCTGAGTGGGCAGTGAGCTGCCACCCTGGACACATCACATTCAATCCCAGGGCCATCTGTGGATTGGAATTCTTTCTTGCTCCCACCTCCGCCGGCTTTTCATTGTTGCATTTTTTGGATCAGAACCTCAGGTCTCTTCCTGGGGTTTCACTGAGTCTGGAATAGCCTGGTATTAATTTTTGGTTACTCAGAATGTATTCCCCCATCTCCTGGTTACACTGTCCCAAACTCCCCAGACCATAAGGCTCTGGCAGCAGGGAGCATGTGGCCCAGTCCTGACCAATCAGCACAATTTAACACCTCAGACCACAATGTTTGGTTCAAGGATGGACATTAGACCTAAACCGGTATAATCGGCATGATTTCTAGGATGTGTATGGACGTTCAGTTGGGTAGACATGTTCTCTACCCAGGTTTGGAACTGAAAGGTGATGACTTTGAAGCTGTGGCAGTCATCCTGCTGCCACAGGGAAGAAAAGATGTGAAAGTGGAGCCAATCGAGGGGAAGCAGAACTGACAAAAAGGAAGAGGGGAACTGGAACACTGTGACAGCATTTGAGATCCTGGATTAAGCCATTCCTGAATGCATCCACTCATGACTTCCCAGTGTTGTGAGCCAATAAATTACTTTTATGTTTAAGCTGCCTTTAGTTACACTTTCTATCAATTTAGAACTGAAATAATACTATCTAACAGACATAAGACCAGGGCACAGGAAGTGAAAACAACTGCCAACTGCTATAGGGATCCAGCCTGCAAAGAACACACTTGCTACAGACTCCATGGAGTGCCAGGGATCATGGCCCAGAATCAAAGAATTCTAGAGCTAGAAGAAACCTTGTGGACAAAGCATCCTGTTCAACCATCATTGCTGACTTTGTTTTTCTAAACAGGTATGCATCTGAAGGCTTAGGGAAGAAAGATGTCACATGGTAAACAAGAAACAAACTCTTCTTCCCATTGGTGTCTCAATGTCATGTATGTTGTTCAAGAAAACCTTTCTGAATGAACATTACATGCCCAGTCACCAATAACCATTCCTTCTGCATGGCAAATAGCTCTTGCAATAAATTCCTTAATGGATTACGTTCACTTCCCACAACAACCACAATCTCAATCTCTCTTTCCTTCCTCCCATCCTTCTTTCCTTCTCTCCTCCTTTGCTTGACTAGCCTCTCATTTCTTCCTCTTCCCCATTCTGCCCCTTTAGTGGCTCAACACCTTTTCTTTACTTGTCAATTCAAACCTACATTGCCTACAGGCACTTAATAACCAACACACTGTCTGCTTCTCCATCCTTGAACCTCTACCTCAAACTATGAGTTATCTACCAACCCTCACCCATCCTTCACCTTCCCCCACAAGTCCATCGACTACATTTAAAAACAGCTCCATATTTTTTACACCCTGCCCCCAGAACACATGCATACACACAAACTAAAACCAACTCTTCACTACCGAGTTATCAACATCTTTATGACTCTCAAGAGATGTTTCTTCCTAGGATCAGATCTCACAGCCACCGGAAATATTTTTCTATGGTTCAGGATGATACTGGAAAATAAGTCGAATAGTCTATTTGTTGTCAGCTCCTTACAGGACATAACCAGATATTTAAACTTCCTGAAACTAAGTTCCCCTATTTCTATGACAGATTAATGCCACTTGCCAGTGTGTAATGTTAGCCACGTCCTGGTAACACACAGATGGAAAGTTTCACGTAAGCCTTAAACAAGGTTATGACTCTCTGGAACCCAGAATACCACTGGCAGGCCTCAAGAATTACAATTATTATTTTTATATTCCTTTTAGAGTGTCTTAGGAACTTACAGGTCTTTAGAGAAAAAGCTGTGGGATTTTGGATGAGATTCACAAACACATGTGATCTGTAGCCCAAGTGAAACCTTTTATTAAAACTCTGGACTGGGAAGGTAGAAAGTTAATTCAGGATATAAAATAAACAGGTGATACCTTGAATTTATGCAGGCCCCCCTCTGCAAAAGTCTGCAACTGCTCACGTGTGTCATTTGATCATCAGTGTCTTCTTTCACTGGAAGTTTTCCTGAGGCAAGAAATACAAATCAAAAAGAATTTAAAGACATTTAGTATGGATACAAAGTCTAGGCTTTCATTCTTCTTAGCACTGTTAACGTAACTCTATTTAGATAATTTCCCTTCAAATCTTTCTTCTTAATCCAGCTTCAAAACTGTAATTCACTGTGGGGACTGGAAACCTTTGCCAGCCTGACTTGTTGAGCCTCCTGGGGGACAAAGCTGTGCACCATCTCACGTGCCCTCAAGGGCTTCCTTCCTCCTTTCTCTTCAGGCCAGTGTCCCACCCACCCTGGTTGCTACTCTACTACCAGAGGTACGGAGACTGGCTTCCAGAGAAGTCACCAAGGGGCCAACAGACTAAAAGGTAGGGTACTGAATTCTCACTGGAGTGAATTTTACCAATGGAAAACAGGTGTAAGAGCAGTGTGGGGAAAGGGCCAGACCCCCCTATTTCCTTCCCCCTCCAGCTATGCTGAGGTGTGATTCCTCTGTGCAAACTATCTGGAGAAACCCCATACACTGAGGGACCTGCTTGAGTCTTCATGGCTTATTTTGAAATGGTAGCCAACACACATACACAAATCAATGTACCCTTTTACTTTCTTACTTCACCCTCACCATCCTGGGATTTTACCTTCCTGATCAAGTATTAGTACCACAACTCTTCCTCAGACCCTGCTTTCTGGAGGGCCTGGCTAAGATGTTCGTTTTCTCTATTCCAGCATTTCTCAAGGTGTGATTTGCAGGCTACCTGCATCAGAATCTTCTGGGGTACCTGCCAGAAAGGCAGATTTCTGGCCCACCCTGGAAATTCAGACTGTCAGTCTGGGGTATGTACTAGCCATCTGCAATACTGAGCTGTCCAGGTGATTCTTCAACACTCTAAAATGTGATGACCACTGGTCCAAGTTTCTCCAGTGCCCCCCACCTCTGCACAGAGGATTTTATGGTCACTCAGGACAAAACTCGTGGGTTCTTTCCCTTTCTCCCACATTCTTGTTGACCTCTACTGATATCTGTCAATACGATGTCCCTTGTATCTGGATCTGTCTTCTCTTTCTCTCTCTCTTTTTTTTTTTTTTGGTTGAAGTATAGTTGACACACAGTGTTATGTTAGTTCCAGGTGTACAACATAGTGATTCTCGTGATTCAACACCTCTCTAAGTTATGCTATGCTCACTGCAAGTTAGCTACCATACGCTGTTACAGTACTAACAGCTCCTTCCCTATGCAGTACCTTTCATCTCTGTAACTTACTCATTCCGCAACTGACAGCCTGTACCTCCCACTCCATGTCACCCATTTTGCCCATCCCCCACCCACCTCCCCTCTGGCAAATACCAATTTGTTCTCTGCCCCTGTCCATGTTATCAAGATGTATGGAGAACAAAAACCATGGTCCTCGACAGCCTCTCTGGCCCAGGCAGAGTTCCATTTGGCAGAATTCTAGAGCTGGTTCCTTTATATTCTAGTTGCCCCTTTAAACCTCAGCTTTTTCCCTGTGCCCCAGGGCCAACAAACCTGCTCATGGTCCCTCAGTACTATCCCTTGCAGCCTGGGGGGTGGAGTTCCCCTTGTTACCATGTCTCCTTTCTCTTGCTGTTATTCTCTGTGTGGTCTGTCTTTTATTTTTCAGAAGCTGTTCAGTCAGCTCTCAGTTCTTCTTCAGGAGGAATTGCTCTATAAATAGGTGTAGATTTGGTGTATGCCTGGAGGAGGTGGGTTTAGAGTCTTCCTACGTCGCCATCTTGGACTGGAACTCTTCTGTTTTCTTACTCCATTTCCCCACCCCCCCACCCCCTGTTTGAGCTCATCTTCTTTCTCTTGGAATGTTCACTAAACTCTCCTCAACGTTCTCCCCACCTTCCTTCTTCCAAACGGGGATGAAAGTGGGAGATCAGGCTGCATATTTCATTGAGCATCTGGAATAGTCCAATACAAGAAGTGGACACTCAGATTCTGTCAGATATATTTGGCATCCCCGAGGTGGTGGATCTTCCCTGAGTCAGAATCACGCCTCTGCTGGGGTAGTGCTTCCTGCCTACGTGTGGCGTTTAATTCTTCCAACATGGCTACACTCACTTCACACATCACAACGCGTCCTGTGAAGACCACATGAGCCGGGGCCAATCCATTTCCACAGAATCCCATATCCAATGGGACACAATGTACACAGTGGGTGCTTTACCCAAGTCAGTGGCAGTGGGGCTAACAAGAATGCAAAATTCACTGCTTTTCTTTCTTTTTCTCCCTTTCAATCCTCCCATAACTCTCAATTACTCAATTTCCTCTCCTTACTTGGTAAACACTCCTACCACAGCTCAAGTACTCTCCTCTGCTCCCTTTGGCATGGGTTTGGCCAAAATCCATTTGACGGCACCTGTGTTCTATTTATTTCCTTCTTCACATGCCTATTCTTTCTGGCTTGAGAAACTGAAGCAAAAATGTCGTTATCATAAGGACACAAATCGTATTGCTTAACTGGTATAATTACAGCTAATATTTGTTGAGCATTTACCAGAACGAAGCCTCTTCCAGGCACTTCCTCATTTAGTCCTTTCAACAGTTCTAGTATGTAGGTACTATTTTTGACCCACCTTCCTAGGTGAGGAAACTGAGGCTTAGAGAGAGGCTTAGAGAGACTTAGAAAGTGCTGGTGCTTGCCTGATCACAAGATCTAGGCTCTTAACCTTTCTGGTACCTTCTTCCAGTACCACCTGATGATGCATGATGAGTTTCCCCAATGCAGCTACCTGGTATGAACTCCCCATGCTGAACAACTGTCCCCAAGTCCACAGTCAGGGTTGATGCAAGTTGACCCACCCTGACAGCAGGTTACCAGCTTCACAGTCCTGGTCCTCCATCAACCCTTTGATTTTTGCAGATCTAATTTTGCAGTTCCATTTCCCACATGGTTCTCCCACATCAAGCGGACATTTCATTTCTGAATAACAGTCTTTATGTTTGGCTTGCCTTATAAGCATTCTTGCCACATCAAGCCAAAAGCTCATTTCCCCCCAATATTTCTTCACAAACGTCATCCACTCCATCCCCCCTAAAACCCTGCATCATAGTCTTTCATCCCACCACCTGAACCACTACAGAAATGTGTCTCAGAGCCATCTTCGGTGACTCACAATCCCCACAACAGATTCTCTGTGGGCACTTGACAGTTTCTCCTTTGAAATCGCCTTCCAAAGACTAATTAGCCCTCAATCTCCCAGGGAACAATTCTCTCTTCTCTGTCACTCTGTGTGGACTCTCTATTTCCTTCTCTTGCATCTGTCTCTGTCCTTCTGAGCCTTTAAAACTGACCAAGATCTGGGCTGAGGGATGAGGTTAATTACTTGCCTTTAGCATGCCACTTGTTTAATGACGGCATGGGACTAGCCCTCATTTTTAACAGGCTGAGCCATCTCATGATGGCACTGTTCCCTTTCTTGGACCTTCAGGTGATGGCAACTGTCACCCACCCCAAACTTAATTTAACTTTTAATTTTAAGCTTGTCTTTCCAACTATCATGCTCTCCCCAAGCCATCTCACTCTCCCCCAATATGCACATCTGGAACCATTCACAAAGTGGTGGTTGAAATCTCCACTAATTCAAATGGAATGCTAGGGATGGAGGCCACTGGGAGGCCCTCAGCTTCCCCCAGGTCCCAGGCAAGTAGTTCTACTCTAAGAAATTCATGAGTCAACAAACATCCTAGAGCATGCCCACTAGGGGCTGAACCAGGGGCATTGGAGTAGCCCAGCTCTGTATGTGATGGCCCTAAGGCAGGCCAGGACATCACAGACAGGACTAAGGACTTAACAGTGGTCCCCCAATATTCATATGTTGAAACCCTATCCCAGTGTGACTTTATCTAGAGACAGGGTCTTTAGGAGGTAAGGAAGGTGAGGTGAGACCATAAAGGTGGGGCCCTAATCCAATAGGACTATGGCCTTATAAGAAGAGAAAGAGATCTCCCAGTCTCTTCTCTCCTCACCATGTGAGGACATGACCAGAAGGTGGTATCTACAAGTCAAGAAGAGAATGCCCACCACAATCCAGTCATGGGGCACGTTGATCTTGGTCTGCCCAGCCTTCAGAACTCTCAAAAATAGGGCGCCTGGGTGGCTCAGTTGGTTAAGCGACTGCCTTCGGCTCAGGTCATGATCCTGGAGTCCCGGGATCGAGTCCCGCATCAGGCTCCCTGCTCGGCAGGGAGCCTGCTTCTCCCTCTGACCCTCCCCCCTCTCATGTGCTCTCTCTCTCTCATTCTCTCTGTCTCAAATAAATAAATAAAATCTTTAAAAAAAAAAAAAAAGAACTCTCAAAAATAAATTTCTGTTGTTTAAGCCACCCAGCCTATGGTGTTGTGTGGCAGTGTTAACACAGACAACCAGCTCTTATGTCCATGTCCAGTTAATGTGGTTCAAGGGAAAACCAGGAATCCAGAGCCTTTGCTCTCCTCATCTGCCTAGGCATTCTGCCCAGAAAGGGTTCAGAAATCAGGGAGGGCAGCAAGAAAACCAGGGAAAAACACATTGAAAACAGATTCATTCATCCATCAAGGCACCAATAAGCATTTATGGAATGACTATTGTGTACAATTATAAATACTTTCAAACACAATATATTCACATTTGTTTATAAATACATGGAAGAAACATGTGGGAAGATACACATTAAATGGATAAGGGTCACCTTTGGGGTAGAGAATAGGAGTAGGGAAGGGAGAAAAGGGGTGAGGATGATGAAGAGGGGCTTTTAATGATATAAAATTGTTTTAATGTGTTCACCTATAAAATAGAAACACACACTTGCAAATATCTGCTGAATGAGGAAGAAAGGCAGTAGGCAAGGCACACTGGATCTGGCTTTCCTATTCAACAGGCAATCCTACTCCCCAGGCCTTTCTTTCTGGGACCTGGGAATGTAATCATTTTGAAGGCACCAACAGTTTGCCTGTCCTGTTAACAGCTATATCCCCAGCACCTAGCAAGTTGCCTGGCACAGAGTA